CTGAGATTTAATTGGGGGGGAGCTGTTTTTCAGAAGGTATCTATAGATCCCATTATTCACTGACAGATGTGTGGGCCCCCAGGAACCCACTCCCCACTGCCTTACAATCTGTCTATGCAGTGGGGTTGTCTGTTTGCCCTCTGAAAGCAAAATGAGATAAGAAAAGGGAAAAGAATGGGAAAAGAAAAGAGGAAGATGAAAGGGAGGTGGAGAGAGAGAAGAAGAAGAGGGAAAACAGTCAGGCATACCAACAAACAAACAGACAAAGACAGAAAAAACAAAAAAGGCAAAAACATACAGACAGTCATACAAAGAAACAAACAAAATCCCCCCCGTTGGTGTACTCTCCCTCAGAAATACCCATACATAAATAGAAAATCTAAATAAAATCCATTTAAATAACAGAAACAAAGCAAGTACAAAAACGTAAACAAAAACAGAAATAGAGAAGAAAAAAAAATTCGTTCAGTGGCCGTTTCTGTAACTCCAGGTTCCTTTCAGGCCTCTGCCTTAGGGAATGGCTGTGGTCTCCAGTCCCTCTCATCTGCTTTCAGTGCAGGCTGATAGTGTTGCCCTCAGCATGGGTCAGATTCCCCACTGACTATTGTAGGAAGAGGATAGATCTGATCTGGACTCACCCTTCTCCCTGTTGCTGCTATTAAGTCTCCCACTCAGACCTGATGTGTCTGTGCCTGTTCCAGTGTGGAGGAGGGGTATCTGTCTCTCTGAGTCTGATGAGAAGATAGCCCCTGGGTCACAAGATGGAGGCAGGGTGGAGCTGGGTGGGGCAATGCAGGTCTTTGCCTGGTCCCAGGACTGAGAAGATGGCACCCGCTCGTATCTCATCACCTGTGGTGGAGCTTTAGTTCATATTTCCGCTGCCTGCCTTCTCCACAGTTCTTCATCCTTATGCCTGGTCTGCTGCTGCAGGTGATGGCCTGGACTGGGTGCCAGGTGGTGACAGGTGCTGCCTCCTCTTAAGAGAGTCCCAAGAATGGCAGGCAATCATGTGCCTGGGTCTCCAATCTCAGGGTGGTGGTGGGTTGGTTGCAGTCACCTCTGGAGGAAAACTCAGGCACATGAACCTGAGTCTCCCCTCAGACAGACTTTCACTCGCCCACTGGCACACACCCACTCACACAGAGAGTCTTTATGGACACCTGCTTTTGCAGAGACTCTCACACTCTGACCTGTTCCATTGCCATCTTGCCTGGAAGCCCCCCCATTTTTATTTATTTATTTTTGAGTCTGTTCTCACTGTCATGCAGGCTGGAGTGCAGTAGCATGATCATGGCTTATCATAGCTCAGGCAATCCTTCTGCCTCAGTCTCCTGAGTAGCTGGGACTATAGGTGTGTGTCACCATGCACGGCTGATTTTTAAAATTTATTTATTGTAGCGATGAGGTCTCACTATGTTGCCCAGGCTGGTCTTGAACTCCTGGGCTAAAATGTTCCTCCTGCTTCGGCCTCCTAAAGTGCTGGGATTGCAGATGTGAGCCTCTGAGCCTGGCCCTTTTTCTTATTTTTGAATAAGGTTGTTTTTTGTTGTTGTTGAGTTGTAGGAATTTTAAAAAATATAATCTGGATATTAACCCCTTATCATATATATGATTTGCACGTGTTTTCTCCCACCCTGGAGCTTACCTTTTTTTCCCCCCCTTTTTCATTTCAGAGACAGGATCTTGCTCTGTATCTCAGGCTGGAGTGCAGTGGCATGATCCTAGCTCACTGTGGCCTTAGATGATTTCTTGTTCAGCCTCTTGAGTAGCTGAGACTATAGGTGCATGCCCCATGCCCAGCTAATTTTTTTAAGTTTTGTAGAAACAGGGTCTTGCTCTATTGCCTAGGCTGATCTCGAACCCCTGGGCTCAAGTGATTCTCTTGCCTCTACCTTCCAAACTGCTAGGATTACTTACAGGCATGAACGACTGTGCCTAGCAGTTTGCCTTCTCACTGTTTTGATTATTTCTTTTGATGCACAGAACACCTTGGCAATTTTTTAAAAACTCATATTTTATCAAATGACTTTCCATGGCCGAGAGCTTAAACTTCAGATGTTTGGGATTGTATACAACCGAGCTTCTAACTAATTCTCTAGCTTAATTTCTAAAAGTTACACAGTTGGCCTTTCATATCTGAGGGGTATTGGATTTAGGACCCCTATGCTGATACCAAAATTCTGGGATCCTCTAGTCCCTTATATAAAATGGTGTACTATTGTACACACATAACAAACACACACTGTTGCTCCTGCTCTTTTTTCTGCTTAGCAATCTCACTTTTAGTCAGGCAGATATTTGAAGTTCAAAAGTGTCAGAATTTCATGTTATTTTCTCGTAGATGCCCTTCATATTCACTTGGTGAACCTCTATTTATTTTTTCAAATATATCAAAAATATATTTTTCCGAGCACTGCCTACTTTCTTGGGCAGAATGGAATGGAGTACTAACCCTCTGTATACTTCAGCCATAGCATCTGAAACATTTTCATTTTCCTATTTCTTTACCTGTTTTGCTTTACTGAACTGACAGATTTTTGTAAGCAGAATATTTGTTATTGGTCTTTTATCTTAAATGTAAGTGTCATACCTTGTATGTGGTATATAATTAAATAATTCATGTTTGTTAAGGAAATACATGATTAGTGAATAAATGAATTAATGTAGAGTTAGTCTTTATTGAGTCTTCAGGGTTATACTAGAAGAGTCTCTGATTCTGTTTGCCTGTGACCCTGCACTGGTAAGTATAATCTAATGATTTCTGGGAGAAAATAGCACTCATTTCAAGTTCCTTTTTGGCAACCCTCACTCTCTCTCCACAGCTCCCAGCAATGTTTCTTTTCTTTTCTTTTTTTTTCCTTTCTTGTAGACAGTTCTTAGAACTCAAGTTCCCAGCAATTTTTGTGCCAGATCTTTGTTATTGGGTAGACATTTTATTATGGCTTATCGTAGCATATGAGAGGAAACCCCAGAAAACCTAGAATTATATTTTAGAGGATGGTCCCCTTGTAGTACAGGCTTCCCTTGCTAGGTAAGTGTTACGGAAACACATCAACTTCACTGTACCAGGTAGCACTGTTGTGAGAAGTTGCATTCGGCTTTAGTGAAAATTTCTTTGGAGATTCAGTGCATTTGCCCATTTCATGATGGGTGATTTACAAGTGCACCTGCCCACACTGTACTAAGTGCTCAGCTGTTTTGACCAAATATGACATGACCCCCTTGCCCCTCCCTCCCTATTTGCCTGATCCCATCCTAAGCTACTTTTGTTTTTGTTTGTTTCCCTGAATTTTAAAAGTCCTTAAAGGGAAACGTTTTGCCAGTGTGGCAGAGGTGAAACAAAAAATGGCAGAAGCACTAAAAGGCATAAAAATTGACAAGTTCAAAAACTGTTTTGAGCAGTGGAAAAAGTGTCTCTGTAGGTGTATTGCATCAGATTGAGAGTACTTTGAAGGTGACTGAAGTTAAAACATGTAAGAATAAATACACAGTTTTTTAAAAAAAAATAAATTCTGTGTTTTTTTGGGTCCCCTTTTGCACATATACAACTTTCTTAACTTATGACCCTACCCAAGAAAGGTTGTTTCTGACCAGCAAGTCATTTGAAAATACTGTAAGAGTGTTCATCAGATAAAATTGCTTATGTTATTATTCCAACTATATTTGCTTTAATTGTTGTTATTGGGAGTAGACCAAAGAGCCTGGGAAATAATCCTGTGGTTGGTGTTTAAAACCAAGCCAAAACAACAAAAAAAATGGTATCTTTTCTCCTCTTCCATTTAGAGTGTAGTTCTTGTTATGAATTCTGGTAATAAATTTCTTCATTGAAGTCATGTAGTTTATGATGCTTCTTGGCAGGGAAATCTTGAAAATGTTTTACTGTCATAGCAAATTTCACACTAAGCCATATTTCAAAAAGTAGTTAGTAAAAGTTCTGGAAAAAGAACAGTCATCATCAAGAGATATGCTACCAGAAGATGGATTGCTACTATTCTAGATGATTTAGTTGTGCTAATTATATGGGCTTTTTATGAGATATGCCGTACATGATTTCCAGTAAAACTTTGATTTTCAATATAAACATTTATTTGAACATTTAATTCACTCCTAATGTAAATACTAAGTTCTGTGTTCTGTAAATTTTTAAAAATGTTAGAAATTGCCTATATTGGCACATACTGCATTGAAAAAGATGAAATAAGTTTCATCCCAGTATTTTGGTGGCAGTATTTCTATTTGTAGAATGTTGAAGGAGTAATTAGTTATTAAATGACACACAAACTTTGGTAGCTTTTTCTCTAAGTGGAACATTTCAGCTATTCTGGTTCTTGCAAGAATACTTAGCAAGAGTTTTTACTACTTACAAATAGTGTCTACTGCAAAGGGAGCAGTGTCTAAGGTAATTCAACATAGGGGTAGTTCAGAATTTATTTGTTTGACTTTATTTTTTTAAATTTTTTTGAGTCTGAGTCTTACTGTGTTGCCCAGGCTGAAGTGCAGTGGTATGATCATGGCTCACTACAACCTTGACCTCCTGGGCTCAGGCGATCCTTCTGCCTCAGCCTCCTGAGTAGCTGGGACTACAGGTGCATAACATCATGGGCAGCTGATATTTAAAATTTTTTTTTGTAGAGATGATGTCTTGCTATGTTGCCCAGGCTGGTCTCCAATTCAAGCAATCTTCCTGCCTTGGCCTCCCAAAGTGCTGGGATTACAGGCATGAGTCACTGCGCCCGACCTCATGGCTATTATTTATTGAGCCCTACCATGTGCCAGACTATATTACAGTTTTATACTTTCTCCACAATAACCTATGAGGCAGGTGTTATGATCCGTAGTTTGGAATAAGGAAACTGAGAGTTGTAACTTTCCTGAGTCATGACATGATTAATGAGTGGCCTTCCTAGATTTAAAAAAACCTAGCTTTTCTGGCTATTTCTAGGCTATTTCCTCCCAGCAAAGGGCAGTTTTAAGATGGAGGATATAGTTAAATAGTTACCATGCTGTTGAAAGATCAGGTATGCAAGTTAAGTTCTGAAAAGTGTAGGGGGCGTTTATAGTGACTGGTTTATTTCATTCCAAAAATATTTACTGGGTGTCTCTTATGTGCCAAGAACTGTGCTAGACATTAGGGATAAAATGACAAAATGCCAAAGTGGTAGAGATAGAGGGTGAAAGAAAGTGGAGACAGAGTAAAGCCACAGTTTGAAAAAGCTTGATTGAAAAGGTTAAGGTAGCCAGTAAGCAGTAAATGAGGGAAATTAGTAGTCTTTTTGTTTTTCTTTAATATAGGAAGTACTTTGTATGCTGAAGAGAAAGAGTTATAGCAGGGGAGAGATTGAAGACATAAAAGAAAGAACTGTTAGGCCCCACATATTTAACTGAGTAGATTGCAAGGTGATTCATTAATTTGTATGGGTGTAGAATTTTAATATGACTAGCCTGCTTTTGGGTAATGAAGACCTCAATAAACAATGAAACCTCTTATTAAAGTGATCACCACGACTTCTTATGTTTGAGTTATGCATCCCTCTTCACTATACCTCAGTTATTCTGTCCATACCCCTGTCTGTCATAGCACTTTTAAATATTGAATTAGAGTCATTGATGCCTCCCTCTAAGACCATATGCTCCTTGGGAGGGAGGATGAGAAGGGATTATTTATAATGCCATTTAGCATCTGCTACAGTCTCACTTCAATAAATGCTTACTGAATCAAAGTATCAGTGAATGACTCTGAATTTCATATTTGTGCCTTGTCAGAACAACAGTTTCTTGTTAACTTTTAAGAGTTAAAAGGTGTATAGCTGCCCTGTGAAGATTTTGTTGTCTATTATAAACTAAGTACAGTACTTAACACTTGGAGATATGTCCAAATACAGGTGAAAAGAGAACTTTCAGCATTTTGGATATTGAAAGGACCTTTTTGGTTATTTTTAAGGAAAATCTGTATTGCTTATTTTATATGTAGGTTACGGCATGCTTAGGAATAATTTTGATACTAAAGTATGGTAAGTGTTCTACACATTTATTAATTTCTTTCAGTTTATGGTTATCAGCTCTTTGTGAGATTTTCTCTAGGTATAGTAAGACAGAAAAATAATTTTAATAAGATATAACCACGTTTTCATGTAAAATATGGTTTTATTTCATTATTTATTACCAGGGAAACAATGTTTTATATAAAATATTTGTTTTAAATTTATCAGCAATTATAATTATTAGGGTGTTTTAAAATGCCAGTTGCAATGAATAATGATGGATGTAGCATACTCTTTCCTCTATGCTTGTTAGAGTCTCTTTGATTTTATAATGTAGAATTTGAAAATTACCCTGAAAAATCCTATGGTTTGTTTACCTTAAACATATTTTTTGAAAAAAAAACCTAAACTTTAAAAAACATATATGGGTAATCATTTAACTTTATTCCAGATTTTAAAAATATAGACTTTTGCCACTCCCTCTTGATTTCTGTAAGCTATGATTTAATGAAAAAACAAATTTCTAATTTTTCTTAATAGTATTATAATGATATATTATACTGATCTATTTTTACTTTTGGATTATATTAAAAATTCAGTTTACCCCCAAAATAAGAAATATTTCATCCAATTTAAAGAATTTCTGAAGTTTATCTTTCTAGAGATTTCAGATCAATTTATCATCAACTCAAAGAGACCAATTGTAGTGTGTCTAGAAATGTAGAAAAAAGTTACCCTGACACTTTTTGCTGTTTTTTTTTAAGCTTTGTGTTCAAAAGCCAGTGATACAGTTTTTAAAATTTATATTTTTGTGAATGTGGTATATAGTTCCCTCAAATACATTGTTTTACTGTTTAATATCATGAAATTTTTTTGTTTCAGAATCCTGTCCAAAGAATTCCTGACTCACATGAGATAACACTGAAGCATGGCACTAAAACAGTAAGTTTAAAACATTTGGTCTTTTCTTTCAATAACAGGGCTCTTACAGAAAGGTGAACTAATAAGACACATTTGTATTAAGGCTAATTACATAATCAACTGATGTCATAAAAACTACAGACATTTTAAAAGGTAGAAATATTACTTTTATGTTCAGTCAAAATAGTAATTTCCTTTTATTTAAAATGGGAACATTTATTGTCATTGTTATTGTTGGCTTTGGAAACCTCTTTTTCTTTGATGCAGAAACATTAGTTGAAGAAAGAAATGAAACTCAAACACAGTTTTGTTTTTTATGGTGTGGGAAAATTTCTTACTACCCTTAGCTTTACTTCCATATCAGTAAAGGCATGAGTTTGTTCATTTTTTTCAGATGAATGTTGAGATTAGAAATGAACTTTAAACAGTTACTGTATTTCTCTAAGATTATATTACTTAATTTATTGGTGGTATTTTTATATCATATATTTACTTATGTTATTTAAAGATGAATAAAATAAAATATTTGAGATATAAGGTAAAATCATTGTGTCTTACTGCAAAACCATTGAAAAGTAGTAGTTGAGTGAGTGAAATGTGCATATGAAATGAAAAAAATAACATTATCTTACTTTTCCTTTTTTTTTTAGTTGGTGTCTTACGCCATCACCCAGGCTGGAGTTCAGTGGCACGCTCAAGGCCAACCAGCATCGACCTGCTGGGCTCTGACGATCCTTCTGCCTCAGCCTCCCAGATAGCCGAAACTACAGGCACACACTACCAAGCCCGGCTAATTTTTTATTTATTGTAGAGATGAGGTCTTGCCAAGTTGCCCTGACTGGTCTCGAACCCTTGGGCTCAGGCAGTCCACTTGCCTCTGCCTCCCAAAGTGCTGGGATTACGGGCTGAGCCACTGAGACCAGCCTACTTTTCATTGAAACTACTTTTTTCTAGATGTCTGGAATGTAAAGAAGAAAATACATCTCATAATGAGAGAGAAACATGAATTAATAGAGATAGACCCAGAAATGATGCAAATGATAAAATTAATCAATAAAGATGTTAAAACAGGGTCCTTCTCACAACATTTTTTCTTTTGAAAATAATGTTTTCAGCTGGGTGCAGTGGCTCAGCCTGAAATCCCAGCATTTTGGGAGGCCAAGGGGAGAGGATTGACTGAGCCCGGGGGCTTGAGACCAGTAACTTGGTAAGACCTCATCTCTACAATAAAAATCACAAAAACTAGCCAGGCTTGGTGGCATGTGCCTGTAGTTCCAGCTACTTGGAAGGCTGAGGTCAAAGGATCGCCTAAGCCCAGCAGGTTGAGGGTATGGTGGCCATGAGCATGCCACTGTACTCCAGCCTGGGCTACAGAGTGAGAGTCCAACTCAAAAAAGAAAAAAGAAAAGAATGTTTTCATAAATATGTTTGTTAAATATAATGGGTTTGTTATCTTAAATGAAATGCAAAATATTTAAAAAGTCTTACCTTTAATTTCTAGTGGTAAATATTGATACATATAACTCACATAAATAAAAGCTCTTTGGGGTCCTTCATATATTTAAGAGCATAAAGGGTCTTGAAACCAAAATACGTGATAACTGCTACCCTAAGAACCCTAAGAAACCATTTCAATCGAATTCTTAATATTAATACTTTTATTAAATCTGACTTTTTATATTTTTATTCTGAAACTATGACAGAATTCCACTAATCTTCATGTTTTTAAGTAAATAAAAAGGAAGCTTTTCCATCATTTAGTTAACAGAATTATACAACTGAGAGATGGTTCATGAGTTTCACATTTGGCTTAAATATTCTTTTTTTCACAAATCAAATTTTATCTTGTAGAGAAGCACAACTTAAAAAATACTCCAATTTGTTTTGCAAATTGAACAAATATTAGAGTATCTAAATTGTACTGTTAACTTTTTTTTTTTTTTTGCAATCTTGCCTTTGCCCTGCATTTCTACTTCTTATACATGTTGGCTATTAGGACGGTGACTTTTCTATCTGGTCTTTTTTTTTTAACTTATTATTTAAAAAAATTTTTATAAGACCAATCTTGTTTACTTGTTATTACTTTACATTTTGACCTCACCCCAGCCACTTTATGGGGTTATTTTAAAGCAAATACCAGATTTCATTTATAAATGCTTCAGTGTGGGTCTCTAAGAGACAATACTGGACAGTCTCTCCCTCTCTTTCTGAGTGTGCATGCTTACATTCTCTCTCACATAATAGGTTATATTTAAGATTTCTTCCAATTATTCAATAGACCCTATTATCCCATTAGTGTTCAAATTTCTCTAGTTGTCCCATATATCTTTTTACAGTCAGTTTGTTCACATCAGTATCCTAATGATGTCTCATGTACTTTTTTTTTTTTTAAAGTCAGTGTCTCACTGTCACCCAGAAGAGCAGTAGCACCATCATGGCTCACTGCAGCCTCAACATCCTGAACTCAGGCAATCCTTCTGCCTCAGTTTCTTGAGTAGCTGGGACTATAGGCATATGCTATGACACCCCTCTAATTTTTAATATTTTTTGTAGAGACAAGGTCTCACTATGTTGTCTAGGTTTGTCTTAAACGCCTGGGCTCAAGCAGTTCTCCGACCTGGGCTTCCTGAAGTTCTGGGATTACAAGCCTGAGCCACTGCACCTGGCTGGAATTTTTCTCTTAATTTTATATTCAGATTGCTTATTGGTTGTATGTAGCAATACAATTGATTTTGGTATGCTAATCTTATTTATTACAACAACTTTGTTGAATTTGTTAATCAGTTCTATAGCTTTTTGTTGTATTTCTTAGGGTTTTGTAGTGTACAAGATCATGTCTATGAGTACAGATAGTTTTCCTTTTCAATGTGGATGACTTTATTTCTTTTTCTTGCACTGGCTAGAACCTCCTGTACAGTGTTAAAAATAAATGACAAGAATATATGTCCTGGTCTTGATCCTGCTGTTGAGGGGAAGGCACTTAGTTGTTCATTAAGTATGATGTCGGCTCTTTTTCATAGGTGGCCTTTATCTGGTTGAAGATGTTTCATAACTAGGTTTTAGATTTTGGTAAATACCTTTTCTAAGTCTGTTGAGAGGATCTTTTTTTGGTCCTTTATCCTATTAGTATAGTATTTTGCAATAATTGATTTTTCAGATATAAAGGATTCTTGGATTTATTCTGGGAGTAAATCTCACTTGATAATGGTACGTATTTCTTTTTATATATTGCTGGACTCCGTTTGCTAGTATTTTGTTGAGGATTTTTGTGTTTATAAAGAATATGCATCTGTAGTTTTGTTTTTTAGGGCTGTCTTTATATGGTTTTGGTGTCAGAGTAATATTGGCCTTGTAGAATGAGATGGAAAGCATTTCTTCCTCCTCTGTTTTCCAAAAGAGTTTGTGAAACATTGATATTAATTCCTTTAGATGCTTGGTAGAATTCACCAACGAAGCCATCTAAGTCTAAGCTTTTCTTTGTGGGAGGATTTTTTTATTACAAATCAAGCCCTTTACTTGTTAAAAGTTCATTCAGGTTTTCTTTGTTAGTTTGGGTAGTGTGTGACTTCTTAAGAGTTTATCTATTTTGCCTAAGTTATCTAACTGGTTGTCATTTGGTTCATAGAAATCCCTTATAATCCTTTTCATTTCCAAAAAATTGGTAATGAGTCCCTTCTTTCATTCTCAACTTTAGTCATTCTTTCATTTTGCTTAGTCAGTCTAACTAAAGTTTTCTCAATTTAGTTGATAATTTCAAGGGCCAACTTTTGGTCCTACTAACTTTCCTCTTTTTAAAAAAATTGGTCATTTTACTGATTTCTGCTCCAGCCTTTATTATTTCTTTCTTTTTGCTTGCTTTGGGTTTTGATTGTTTTTCTTTTAAGTTTTTAAATATGTAGGAGGTTATGTTACTGATTTGAGGTCTTCCTTTCTAGCATAAGCATTCATGGTCATAAATTTCTCTCTAAGCATATCTATTTTGTACACTGCTTGATTTTAAAATTTACTTCTGGCAATAGTAAAAATGGATGCTTTTGGGCATCTCACAAAAAAGACTGAAATACTAATAAATGGGAATTGAGGAGATAGGTCTTTCAGAATTTGGGGTTAAAAACATTGAAAGATTAATGGTTTACAGTGAATTGAAAGATTCTTTTCTAAGCTTCCTATGTAAGCAAGGTTTGAGCTACAGATTTGTAACTACTTAAATTTTGAAAAATATCTCTACTGTTTTGCTAAAGAATTTAGCATAACAGGAAAAACTGCAGATATCTAGATAGTAATACAGTCAATGTGCTTATTGGGTCAACTGAACTACCTTACTATAAAGTCTCCAACTTCTTGAAAGAAGGAGAGAGTGATAAAAATTCTTTTAACATAAAATTTAAAGTCTGGGAGTGTGATACCTCCCCTTTTTTTGGCCAAGTATTGTTTTGGCTATTCGTGGTCGTTTATGTTCCATATGAATTCCTGTATTGTCATTTCCTGGTCTGAGAAGAATGCTGCGGGTAATTTAATGGGTATTGCATTCAGACTGTAGATTGCCTTGGGTAGGATGAACATCTTAATAATGTTGATTCTTCCAATTCGTGAGCACAGAATGTTTTTCTATTTGTTTGTGTCATCTTTGATTTCTTTAAGCAGTGTTTTGTAGTTTTCATTGTAAAGTTCTTTCACTTCTCTGGTTAGGAAGATGCCAAAGTATTTCATTTTTTGGGTGACTATTGTGAATGGAATTGTGCTTTTTATTTGGGTTTCTGTTTGTTTATTGTTGGTGTATAGGAATGTGACTCACTTTTGCACATTTATTTGATAGAGTCTTTGCCAAAGTCCTTTATCAGTGCAAGGAGGTTTTTGACAGATTCTCTTGGGTTTTCGAGGTATAGAATCAAGTCCTCTGCAAAGAGGGATAACTTAACTTCCTCTTTTCCTGTTAAATAGATTTCTTAAAGCTCCCATTGTCATTACATAGTTTGGTACTTTTAGATTCATGTGGTCTTCATTCTGTTGTAGTTAAACTATCTTAAAAGGTTTCCTCAGGGCCGGGCTCCGTGACTCAGCCTGTAATCCCAGCACTTTGGGAGGCCGAGGCGAGTGGATTGCCTGAGCCCATAGGTTTGAGACCAGCCCGGGCAACTTGGCAAGACCTCGTCTCTACAATAAATAAAAATAGCCAGGTGTGGTAGTAGGCACCTGTAGTTCCAGCTACTTGGAAGGCTGAGGTGGAAGGATCGCTGGAGCCCAAAGGTGGACACTGGGGTGGCCGTGAGTGTGACATTGCACTCCAGCCTGGATGACAGAGTGAGACTCCAACTCAAAAAAAAAAAAATGTTTCCTCTGGATTGCATATTGAAAATGCTGAATTATTTTTGAATCTTCCACTTACATGCTAAAGCAACTTAGTGTATCATGTGAAATTGCAATGGCAGCTGTTCTATTCTGAGTACATGGTTGATAAGTTGGGACAAAACTGTCAATTAGATTAAACTTAAAATATTTTTCTTTTTTTCAAAGGAAGTAATATTCATTTTAACAAAGTCAATTGCTACAGAAGGCTCTGTCCATTCTCATTTTTCAGAAGTAACACCAGTGGGTCATCTATGCTTCTAGGACTTATAAGATAGGTGATGGGGCTAGAGAATAGAAATGGGGGTTGTAATAGACTATATGTCATTTTGCTCCAGTTATTTTTTTTCTTAAACCAGGTGTCTGCTTTGGGTCTGGATCCCTCAGGTGCCCGTTTGGTGACTGGAGGATATGACTATGATGTTAAGTTTTGGGATTTTGCTGGAATGGATGCTTCTTTTAAGGCATTTCGATCCCTTCAGCCCTGTGAGTGGTATGTATTACTCAATCTTCATATCTGATTCATAGCTTCATATTTGAAGACAGAGTGCTTTTGTCATTTGAATTCTATCTGTTCTGATTGGACCAAAATACATTACATTTAAATGACTGTATATTGCCTTCATTATTCAAAAGAAAGTAAAATGAACTTTAAATTTCTTTTCTTTGGTTGCATTAACCTGTTTTAAAGACATTTTCTGTCTTTTGTTCTTTTAAAACATATTTTATTTAAAAAATTTTATCTTGTCTAGTTTATTTTAAAACACCCCAATGAATACTGAGTAATATTATGTATTTGTATATGACATATGCTAAGTCAGGATCCTGGTGCTGATTGATGCTCTTCTGTTCAGGTGTGGTCAGATGGCATTACATTAGAGCAGGCCTTACATGTTGCTACTATAAGCTACTCTCGTTATTTTGTTTTACTGTATCTGATCTTTTGACATATTGCTTCCTTATGGTATCATTTAGCTTGCTTCTTTATCTCCTCTCTAATATTTCCTGTAGAAGTTCAAAGACTTGATCAATTCACATTTTATCACTTCTGGTGACATGGATTGTCTAATATTTTCACTATTAGTGACTAGAAATTAAGATACAGCCCTGGATTAAGCTGGTGACATCTGATTCCTCCATTGTAAAGTTAGTATTTTACACTTGAGATAGACAAGTGAAAGAATAATGAGTATCTGGGTATTTATATGGTACCAAAGTATCTTGGTGGAGAGATACTTTGATACCATGTAAATATTCAGATTCTCATCATCCTTAGTGAGTTTAGCACCATTGAAAATTCCTATCTGAATCAGTTATCTCATTGAGGGCTACAAATTGGTGATTTTCTTTCTTTTTTTTAATCTTTAAAAAATTATTTTATTTTATTTTCTTATTTGGTGATTTTCTTATTCTGCTATTTCATCTGCACTTATTTCCTGGCATTTTTCTTAAAAAAGAAATTTTTCTTATTAGCTGATGTTATTTGGTTACCCTGAAATAGAGTCACTACTAGAGAGGCAGAATAAATGCTTAGTTTTCTTTCTTTAATTGCCTATTTCAGCTTAAGAATTGATCGCATTAAATGAGTTGTTCCGGTTATTGGTGGTGATATTTTTGTGGCTTTTTCTTTTTTCAGTATCAATATTTATGATTTTTAAATTTTCATGTATTTCAGTCAATTGCAGTCATTATTCTTTTGTTGTTTAGATTGTCCCAAATTTGGCTAGTGGGAATCCCTGATTGCTGTGTAATTTTGGCATGACCTTATTAGTCTTTAAAAGCTTATGTAGTTTCTGGCACATTGATGTGAGCTTCCTGGTACATTCCTTTCCAAGTCCTGGAATCAGTAATTCCCCAAGGAGCCCTATTTTCTTTTTGATAGAATGATATTTAGAGAACAAATTTGGATGCTAGGCAAGTTCATTGGTATTGGAGTATCATTGCTTTTTGACCTTTTTTTTTTTTTTGAGTCAGAGTCTCACTCTGTCGCCCAGACTGGAGTGCAGTGGCCGCTCCTGGCCACTGCAGCCTCAACCTGCTGGGCTCAGGCGATCCTTCCGCCTCAGCCTTGGCATGTGTTACCACACCCGGCTAATTTTTTGATTTATTGTATAGATGAGGTCTTACCAAGTTGCTCGGGCGGGTCTCGAATCCTCAGGCTCAGGCAATCCACTCATCTCAGCTTCCCAAAGCGCGGGATTACAGGCTGAGCCACCGAGCCTGGCTTACCTTGACAGTTTTAAGTGGTATTGGTCAGGTATTTTTGTAGAATGTCCCTCAATTTTGTTTTATCTGATGTTTTCCTCATGTCTAGAAGAATATCACATGAGGTGAAGGGTCTTTCTTATAATATCATATCAGGGATACATGCTATCATGTTTTTCAGATTTCTTCACTGTAAAGTTACTTTTTCCTCCCCCTTCCATATGCTATTCTTTGGCAGGAAGCTTACACTCTGGGGAGTGGAACAATTCAGCTCTACTTCCTGGACTGAGTGATATTTAAATAAAGTTTTTAGCATTCTTCTGTAAGGATTTGTGTCTTCCCTATTTATTTATTTCATCATTTGTTTCTGCCACTGTCAACTACTCATTGTTTATTTTAAACAGTACCTTGGGTTATAATCCAACTCTGTGTTGTTTTATTACTCAGATTGTTTCAACTGTGGTCATTGGAATCTCCTTTGGTTTGTCTCTTGTATCTGTTTGACATGTCCCCTTTCTTTTGTGTTTGGGAACACTGCTTTAATTTTTGACACTATATAATGCTCCTGACTCATCTTGTATTTTTCTTGCCCCAGCTCTAGAATCAGTTCTTTTCCCAGGAGAGTGATAATAGCGAACTAGATCTAGGCTCATTGTTCCTTAGATGTCATTGGTTTTAGACTGTCTCAGCAGGTACAGCCAGGAAATATATGCGTATATACTAACCTATGTATACAGTTTCTTTATAATTGTTCCTGCATCTATCTGCATTCATATTAAAATAAACATGAGTTCATCCTCATGTTTCTGATTCTAATGAACATTGGTTCATTCTAACCTTCTTTTTTTGTATCATCATTTTCTAACAGTGAGGAACCTCGCTCCTGCTATCCATTTATTCAACCTAAGTATTCATGTAAAGCAGTTTCAGAATGTTAATTGCATATCTGTTCCAATTTAAGTTTAACATTCAGAATTTGTCTTAATGTCTTTGATTTTGGTACTCAAATTAAAAGATAGAACTTATTTTTGAGAAAAGGCTTCCTGGTCAAGGGGTTAGCAAAATTTTTCTGTAAAATTATATAAGCTTAAGCTTTTTACTTAATTTCCTGGGTTTTGCTTCCCCCTGTAACTGTTACCAATGTATATAACTTGAGAATTTTATCTTATGAACTAAGAACCAGTAACATTCTCTTGGGTCATGTCTCAGTTCAAATGTCACCTCCTCAAAAGTAGTTCCTCTCCCTACCTCTTCACTGCTACTTACTCTACCCACTGCCCTGATTTATTTCTTCATAGCACTTACAGCTATCAGAAATGATGTGTTTTTTACACTTGTTTATTTGTATTCTAGCACCTAAAGCAGTGCTCAGCATGTAGTTGGAACTTAATATTCATTAAATAAACTATAAATAATAGAATCTTTCATTTTTTTCCAAAAGTTTTCTGTTGCATAAAACAGAAGACCAATTTCAGCAAGATGTACCTGTCTTTTTAAAAAGGAAGCATAAAGATTTCTTTTTCTGGAAGATCTAAAATCTTTGGCTTATAAATTTAGGGCAAATAAGGAACAGACAGTTATTAAAATCATTGGCTCTGCACTGTTGGCAATGCATTGAGCCATAGTATCTGTTTAGCTCTTTTTATTATTTTATTATTTTATTTTATTTTTGAGTTGGAGTCTCACTCTGTTGCCCAGACTGGAGTGCAGTGGCACACCCCCGGCCACCGCAGCCTCGACTTGCTGGGCTCTGGCGATTCTTCCGCCTCAGCCTTCCAAGTAGCTGGAACTACGGGTGCGCGCTACCACGCCTGGCTAATTTTTGATTTATTGTGGAGACGAGGTCTTGCCAAGTTGCCTGTGTGGGTCTCAAACCCACGGACTCAGGCAATTCACTCACCTTGGCCTCCCAAAGTGCTGGGATTACAGGCTGAGCCTGGCCTGTTTAGCTCTTTTTAAAAACAAAAATAGGACATATATTCTCAAGATAATTGGTTAATGAATTTTATTGCATCTTATAATTTCCATTCATTTTATTAAAAGTAAATGCCACCGAGCAGATTTCTACTTACTCAAATGACATTTGCAGTTCTTGTTATATTTCATCAGTTCCTTGATTAAACAGTTCCAGAGTTCAAAAAAAAAACAAATTAAAACAACCACAAAAAAACGCCTTTACCCCGTGTTTTGCCTTTCTGAGTCAATTCTAGTTTCAGAAATTAGAAAATTTATATTATTTGAAATCAGAATGAATGAGTCAATACTGTAGTCATTGGGCATGATACACTGTCTTCTTAACTAAGCTTGTGTCATAAGTACCAGCTTTGTAGGGGGAGAATTTCATTACTCTGCCTGATTTTCATAAAGGTATTTTTTCTTTTTCATAGCACACTGATTTATATAAAACTTAATTATGCAACTAAGTATTTCTGTAGAGTAAATATACATAATGGGTAAGAGCATGGATCCTGAGTCATGTAAGTCTTAATTTGAATTGTCTTGACCAGTTCATTTGCTGTATGACTTTAGGCAAGTTATGTAATCACTTTTACTGCTGATTTCCTTGCCTGTAAAATAAAATTAATAATATCCATTTCTTTGGGTTGTGGTGGATGATTAAATGAAACAATGTATAAGGTACATGGCATAGTGCCTGGCACCTAGTAAAGCACTCAACAAATAACTCATTTAGTATTTATTAAATATGAGTGAATCTTTCAAGTATATTTTCCATTTCTGAGTTATTGTTAGTATTATAGCATTAGATTTTACCTCTAAAAATTCAGACTACTATTTTAGACTATCATTCGTCCTGATTTCTTTTTTAGCTATACAGTTTTGGCTCTCTGTTATCTGTCCTCTGTTTCCCTTTTCTCTTTCTGATCCAGTTCTATTTATCTTAAAATTAAAAAAAAAATATTAGAGTTGTGGGGTAAAAGCGAGGATTTACTACATAAGGAGATTATTTGCAGATGAAGTTTGGGCTTCTAGTTGGCCTTCTCTCCCCCAGTAGTGGTCCAGGTACCCAGTGTGTTGTCACATGCTGCCCTTCCTCCTCCCTCTTTCTCTCTCCTAGCAGTGTCCAGCACCTGCCCATCCCCCCTCTTGTGCTAGTGTGACCAGTGTTTAGGCCCGGTTTATGAGTGTGAACGTGCAATATTCAGTTCTTTGTTTCTGTGATAGTTCACTTAGTATGAGAGTCTCCAGCTGCTTGTAAGTTGCTATGAAAGCTGATTTTGTTCTCCTTTATGGCTGCATAATATTCCATTGTGTATATGTACCACATCC